GACATTCGCTGATACCCACTGCCTGGGTACCGCGACGGAGGATGCCAGGCGCCCTGCAGCCTGGGTGGTGCTGTCCATTGGCTTGCAGGGCTTCCCGTCCATTGTGAATTAGCCGCCCAGCAATTCATTCATTCATTCATTCATGCCTGATGTGCCCGGGATCGAAATAGAAACCACGTCCCCAACAAAGGGCACACAAGATAAACGCTATAGATCCAGCAAGATACTCGCGCCAAGCCCAGGCGACAAGATACACTGTCGGGGATGTTACTGGGCTAAGGGCAGGGCGGATCTGTCCCGAAACGTTACCTGGCGCTGAGCAAGGAACGCGCCCACGCCATTCGGGGCCCCACCACACAGGTTCGCTCTCGTCCAGGATCCGCGCCCAGCCATCGTGACCGCTGACGACACCTCTCGAGAGTCGCGATGTCATCATACACACTATCTTGACCAGTACCTGCTGTACCACACACAGCCAAGATTTAGCCAGCTTTGAAGCTAGTGTATCCAGCTGTCTGTGCCACAGACTATGTATTCCCGAACGTTTCTGGTCTAGACTGCTCCTGGGATCCGAAGATAAGGGTATAAACAAAAACAGCAGTTCCGCCTGTTGCCTGGAGAGCTGGCCTTGCGGCAAGCGTGCACGCGCAGGCAGGCCCTTTGTTGGCTATAGCTCACTAGCATCCCAAGAAAGGACTGCAAATAAATAGAACACGATGTTAGTTTCAAAGAGGTGCACGCCCCGGATCCAGTAAGTCTGAGACAAACTTCGATCTTCCCTGTGGAAATCGGAGTCTGCCTTGTACATCTGGAAATCTGGCCTCTGAATCATTTCGGTAGGACTGATGCAGATTCATTTTCCAGGATTGGCGCCAGGTTGCATTCCCCTTCACGGCTTTGGTCCGATCTTTGATTGCCACCGAGGTCTTGGCCATGGATGGAACATCAATCAATGACGCACGACACCCTTACACGGCAATTTAAGACAATTACCATGACAGAAGTGCAAATGTGAACTCAACATCTAAGAGAAAAGCTTCTAGATGAAGCCTGGGAATTACTGAAAGCGGTGGTGATGACCTCGATCCGGGGAAATCTAGCCGGATGGGCAGCCATAGGCAGCCATAGGAAGACAACATTGCCGCAGTAGCTGACGCACGTCAAGACTCCTCCGGATGGAACGGTTCTAGTAACATCCACATGGTGAACGGATAGATACTTGCGAGTTGTAACGCTTCCATGGCAAGTGAAAGAGGGAGACAAGCCGACTGATTTCGTGAATCATCTGGAAGCATATAGCATGTATCACGTGATTTATACCGCCACAACAGCCACACTCATATGTGGCTGGATATCGCTTCACCCCACTATCGTGGTTATGCCCACATACAATTTTCAAATGCGAAATACTGATAAATTCGCTTCAAGAAGAAATCCCCGCGATACGGACAAGGCGACCCACGACGAAATACAGCTTTCGAATCGCGCGTTAGAATCGGAAACATAGACGGATCTCAACTTTCAGATTTTCAACATGGCTGCTGCCGTAGCAAACAAGCCCAAGTAAGAAATCCCGGGAAAAAACCCCCTCCTTCACTCGCCCGCCGCCCACACCAACCACGATGCATGCTTCTGGCCTGGGTATCCATTCAGCCAGACCTGCCGCATTTCTTGCTCGTACCTTCAAGAAACATATCTAACCTCCTATTAGGCACGACTGGGCCGACGATGATGACATCGAGGAGACCTCCTCCGACCTCCCTCCCCCCCAGACCATCACCAACAAGGACGGAACCAAGACCATCATCTCTTTCCGCGTCAACGAGGATGGAAACAAGGTCAAGCTCACCCGCCGAATCCGCTACATCACCCACAAGGAGACTGTCAACCCCCGCGTAGCCGACCGAAAAACATGGGGCAAGTTCGGCCAGAGCGCCAAGGACGGCGCTGGCCCAGCTCCCGATACCACATCCGTTGGCGAGAACATCATCTTCCGACCTAGCTTCAACTGGCGCAAGGATGCCAAGGAGGAGGGCGACGCACAGGATCAGCTCAAGGACAAGCTCAAGGACAAGAAGGTCAAGTGCCGTATTTGCAGCGGAGAACATTTCACTGCCAGGTGTCCGTACAAGGACACCATGGCGCCTGTCGGCGAGAGTAGCGGCGCCGATGTCGCGGCGGGTATGGGTGACGATCAATCCGCCGCCCAGGGCCCTGGTGCTGCAGCCGCTGGCAAGAAGGGATCTTACGTTCCGCCTGCTCTGCGTGACGGAGGTCGTGGTGCCGGCGAACGAATGGGTGGATCCAAGTTCGGGGAGAGGGACGACCTCGCGACGCTGCGTGTCACAAACGTACGTATTATCTTGGGCCAGCTTTTTGATAGCCTGCATGCTAACATATACGTTTCAGGTTTCCGAAATGGCGGAAGAGGGCGAGCTGCGGGATATGTTCGAGCGGTTCGGACGTGTCACGCGTGTATTCCTTGCCAAGGACAGAGAAACTGGCATGGCCAAGGGCTTCGCCTTCATCAGCTTTGCAGACCGGGGCGACGCTGTCAAGGCATGCAACAAAATGGACGGGTTCGGTTTCAAGCATCTCATTCTCAGGGTGGAGTTTGCCAAGAAGGCTGCGTAAATTGTTTTTATATTCTGTTTTCCAGTTGTTTCTCATGAATACGACTAATGAATGAAAATGTCGTGGCTTGTCTAATACTCGGTTTTGTCGTCAGTGACTCCTTTTGGTATCATACCTACCTTCCTGAGAGTAGATTGTGTGATTGGATAACAACTTGGTCTTGGGTGGGTTTGAGGTGTATGATGTTATTAGCCAGCTTCAGAAGTGGCCGTGACTTGTTAACCTTCTTAATTTCAAGGGATAAGCGGAAACTGTAATGTATAGAGAGACTTATTTTCCCTATCTCGGCTTTTTGGAACCCCCCACTCTTGCTTCTGCCGCCAGGACCAAATGACATAAACCATGATATAGCAAACGCCACGCTTAACTTTGGATAACTCATAGGCGTACCATTCTTTAGTTAATAACAATCCTTTTAAATTATATACTATCACTGCCTGTTCTGCCTATTTCACTCACTTGCATGTCTACTGAAATTTGAGAATGAAAACTACTTGTGACTAATGGCCACCAACGATGGAGCTGGCTTTGAAGTAAGATAGGGCAAAAGGGAGCATGATGTGCATGCTTCTTCCATGTACGGGCCATATCAACCTTGTTCTAATCGAGACTTGAAGTGGCGATGGGTGGGAATATCTTCGTAGTCATTTGACCGATGATGCTGACAAACCCAATATGTATATTCAGCATAAGTGAGTGTGTCAAACCTTATTTTTCTCTTCATTCTTCTTTTTGAGGAAGAGCCATAAGTTCAAAAGATACTCAGGCACGTTTCGCAGAATCACGTGACTATATCACTGCCTCCGTCTTCATCTCGCACGAAGCAGAGCGGAGCAATATCATTCAGGTGAAAACCAGTTTCGAGATGGGGGAAACAGAAGGCACTCGCAACGAGAGCGGCCAGGCGCCGAGTGGTAACGCCACTGAGTTCCCCCCGTCAGGGACAGATGGCCGCCTCCATCTCCTCCTCGTGGCAACAGGCTCCGTCGCAGCGATCAAGATTCCCAATATCATCCAGGCTCTCGCCCCCCACACCCATAAGCTCTCAATAAGACTCATCCTGACTACTAGTGCCAAGCATTTCCTGGGAGGCCAAGCCGAGGAGCAGCCGCACTACGCCTCCCTCCTCTCCTTCCCGGGCGTAGAAGCCATCTACGACGATGCTTCGGAGTGGGGGCCGGAACCCTGGCGTCGCGGAGGTCCAGTCCTGCACATTGAGCTTCGGCGCTGGGCCGATATAATGGTGATCGCGCCCCTGTCCGCGAACAGCCTGGCCAAGCTCGCGAATGGGATGAGTGATAATCTCGCCCTTTCAGTGTGCCGCGCATGGGATACGGATGGCCAGGTTGATGGACGGCGGAAACGTATCCTGGTTGCTGTTGCTATGAACACCGCGATGTGGCGTCATCCTGCCACGGCGCGGCATATCAAGGTGCTGGAAGAGGATTGGGGAGTCAAGAAGAACGAAGAGACGGGGGAGGAGACGGGCTGGATCGAGGTCTTGCAACCGCAGGCGACCAAGCTGTTGGCATGCGGTGATCTAGGAAGCGGCGCCATGATGGAGTGGACAGAAATCGTGAAGATCGTCGAGGACAGGTTAGGATTGAAAAGGAATCAGGGTACAGTAGGATGACGGATGATCAGTTCCAACCTACAAATGCCAATAAGATACACCAGAACCTACATCATTGTCTCTTTTTCATGGATAACTAGTGATCGGATGCCTCGCTCTGAGACTCGCAAGCAAGGGAGACCTTGGGGAAGCATAATTCATTCCGCCGCATCCTTATCGCAACATCTAGTGGCTCCTGATATCTCGCCTGAGAGCCACTTGACACTACATCCTTCCTCTAGCAGACTCTATGTCTGAGTTGTAGTGCAACTGATCCAATACAGGCATTGCTAAGTATTCGTATTCCTTAACTAGAGATAAAACACAACCAGATTGCCTCTCTCATGAAGTCGCCTACGCATCTCACATCCCGGTAAAAACAAACTTATCAACAACTTTCCTCTTTTTAATTTCTAAATCTCAAACGTTCCTCTATTGTTTTTGCACGCCAATGATTTAATAAGGACTTCGCAGGGCGTTGATGCTCATAATTTAGCATACGATCTGTCTTCAGCCAGTTCCAGGACATCAAACTTGACACACCAAGACCACCAACGTTGTACTTTGATAAAATATGAGAACAATTAGTATAAGAAGCAACGAAATGCAAACATAATGCACAATAAAAAGAGGGATTCTATGCCTAATATTGTGGTGATTATTGTCAATGAAGCGTAATATATATAGGTAGGCACAGGTTTTCAATTCATCCCTTCTAACTCTCTCCGTTACAACACGACCCCAAGCCTTTAAGATGGGTCCAGCATCGGGTGCTGCTCCTCTTCGTCGAGGAAAGAGAAAAGCAATCTACCTCACGGATGAGGACGATACACTAGTAGTCGCGCCACCGAAGCAACTCCATGCTTCTATTACCTGGGACGTACGGGCTAAGGATATGGCCCATCACATGTTCTGCACCAAGTTCGTGGCTATCATGGACACGGCCATCGAATCCCAAAAGTGGGACGTGGATATTCAGAAGAAATGCATGGAGCTGATGGGCGAGCTTCGAATCGATGGCCTCTATTTGATAGGCACCACCAAGCACGAACTGGCAAAGATGTTTACCTACGACCCTTGCTTCATAAGAATCATGATGCTCAAAGTCTTATTCTCACCCGAAAGGATCAAGAGCTGCGATTTTCTGGAAAGAGCCGTCCCGCCGAAGTATCCAGGATGGGATTATACCAAGGACCTCTACCCACCCTTACAATATCCCACAGGTCAGCACGCAGAAAAGGAGCTCGAAGCCATTAGAGAGAGCATCCAAGGCGTGGGTCAGTTGCTCAGAAACATCTACACAGTAGTTAAAGGTATAAACAGCAAACTGGAAGATGTTACCGCAACAGAAGGCACCGCCTCGAAGGGAACGAAGACCAGAAAAATGGATCGACCAGCCCCTGGGAAAGATCAAAATTGAGACAACATTCGATTTCGAGGAAGAGACCCGGGGATCTACTCGCAAACATCAAATAACAGGCTAGTTCGATTGCGAAAGGCCTCTGAATCTCGAGGGCAAGGTAGAGCTCTTGAGTTAGGACGTGAAGAAGGCTGCCAAATGTTCCTTGAGATCAACCAAAGAAGGGAATAAAAACTCGGTGGTCATGGCAGTATCAGTGGTTTGAATTTTGAGCAAAGCAGAAAAAGTTGAGAGCAAGGCACAAGATCGAACCAATATGGAAGTGAACAGGGTGTTTAATCGCCTCTAGGGATCAACCGAGGAAAAGAGAATAATGATGAATTTGGTAATAGCAGTATCAAAAGCAACAGGCCAGCTAGAAAATTCCGAACCCAATCCGTTTACGCCCCGAGCCAATGATGATCTATCGCTTATCTATGGTGCTAGCCTTGCTCCCCTCTGATGAGAGTGAGATGCTCTTCTTCTTCTTGCCCTTCCCGACAATCTTCTCCTTCCAATTCCAGTCCGCTGCCGAGCCCCCGCCCTCCCTTTGCTGCTGCTCCTCCTTCTTCTTGGCTTTGGCCTTGGCCTTGCTCTCCGCCGTAGAATCGAGGTCGCTCTCGTTCTCGCTGTCTACCCAGTCCCGATCGCTCCACGTCACCGAATCGGCCCGTGAGAACTGAAACCGCCTAGGTTGTTCTTGGTATGACTCGGGAAGGTTGGATACCTTATCCAGCGCTTCCTGCGCGTCAGTCTCCGTACCTGCTGCCTGCGGGCTGTCCAAGTTCGCAGTGAGGCGGGGAGTAGAGATGGTCTCGCCGCCATGCTCGTCGGGAGGCTGATTCACGTCCTTAGAAAGCTCGCCCAAAAAGTCATCCTCCGTCCGCATGCGAGCCAAGGCCGAGTCGCTGAAGTGAGCATCGACGATGTGCTTGACCACCGGCCAGCCGTGCGCATTGGCAAACATGCGGCGGACGAAAATGTTGTTGTGGGCGTCTGGCTCTAGCTTCACGAGGACTTTGCGCCATGAGAGATCGTAGTGGTAGGCACGTGCAATCTTTTCCTCCACACGCATAGTCGATGATTCAGAATCCCGCCTCTTCGCGGTATCGGCGCTGTTTTCGCTGTCCTCTGAGGGCTGCTGCAATGACTCCTGCTTTGATGAGGATGACGACTGTGAGCTGGTGGTTGGTGGTTTCTGGGACGAACCCCATGTGCTTACCCGTGATAGCCTCCTGCGTACTGAAGGAGTCGTACCTCCCTTGATAGGAGGTGCTGGAATGTCGGTCGGATGATAGACTCGGTCGTGGAAGATGGTTCTGGGCCGTTTTGAAGGGTCGAGAATGTAGTCCATGTCCGGAATTTTGGGGTTGAGCAGGTCGCCCGCAGATTCGAAGACGGTGGTTCGAGGGGGCGCGTTCATACCGCCTTCATCCTCTTCCAGCTCATTCCCCGAAGTCACCATCATTGGGCGTGGGGGAGGAGCTTCTGTATCGCTTGAAGCCACTGCGGAAGAAGAATCGTCGGTGATTTGGAGCGTCTGGCTCATGCTGTATATCCTCTTTTGCTTCTCTGATATAGGCTCTGCTTTCGGTGGGTCGTTGTTCTTGAATAGATTGAAGAAGGACGAGAAGGGACCGCCCACACCTTCTCCATTCTCCGACTTGACAATTTCAGAATACGGTGTCCGCACTGAACTAATACTGGCTCTCTCGTCCTCTTGAACGGCGTCCTCGGAAGGCTGAGGCACCTGGCGCATATCCTCCCCAGCCTCCTTGGGTGTTTCTGTCCCATCAGCCACGGACGCCGGCTCGTCGTACAATAACTGCCTCTGACGAGAGTTAGCCATGCTGGTCCCGGTAAGCTCTGCCCACCCGAAGCCAACGACAGTCTCGACCAGGCCGGCATCTCTGCGAGCCTTTTCAACCCGGCCAAGACCATACCAGTCCAGAAAGAGGAGACAGCTCGTGCGAAGCGGCACGATTCCATCATTGACCACGTTCGAATACACGGTCCGATTTCGGAATTTCTTCAATGCTGTATGTGCAGGCCCGGTTGGAAGAATCCGTAATAAGGGTTTCGACTCTGGCTGGGACTCTCCATAGACCTTCTTGTGCGCCGTCTCGCCAAGGTTACCAACGATAGCCCCCCACCCGCTCCTGGCAAGCGTCGGGGCTCTCCAGGCGAGCCCCAAATCCTTTCCAGTCCGTCCGACCAGACCAAAGTCCAGAGCAAACTTGACATACATCGGGTTTTCGTTGCTAAGTCCTAGAAAGGGGGTGGCAAGAGCAATGAAGTTGATAGGTTTGATAAGGTTGAAGAATTCTGGTGAGTGTTTTTGAATATAGGCGACCGCATATGTCTGTACCAAGCCGCCGAGTGAGTGGGCAATAAAGCTGATGCTTGTTATCTTGAATGATCGAGGGCGTAGTTGGGGATGATGTCCATGCCAGCCCGCGTGACCTGTGCCATGTTGTTTCTTATCTCCGGGGGCCTCGCCCTCAGCCTTTGCATCCTTGGGGTCCTTAGGGTCCTTAGGATCCTTAGAATCCTGTGTCGTATACGGAGCCGGTACACCCTTCCCCATGGGGAGGTATGGCTGATCTGGATATGTGTTTGAGAGCACATACCGTGCCAGCTTCTTACCGAGGTACTTCATACCGCGCTCTGTCTTCGTGGCGTTGCCAGAATAGCCCCTCACGATGACCTCCTCATCCTCGTCCTCATCATCAGAATCATCAGCATTGACGTGGTCCGCCTTCTCCGGAGCACGATCGCCATTTGCTGAACCTGGCCGAGACACACCGGACTCTGATTTCGCTTCACTAGCTTGCCTCTCAGCAGCTCGTTCCTTGGCTCTCCTCTTCTTCGCATCGATCTTGGCCTGCTTCACAGCAGCATCGATGCTCTCTTTCAGAAACAGCATATCAGCCCCCAAATTACTATGCAGCCCATGGGTGAGAATAACTAAATGTACTTTCTTCTGCCGTACGCGGGGAGCAGACCCCTCCTGTGATTTCGACTCGGTTGATTTCGACTCGGCCGTCTGGTCCTCGCTCCCTCCCGCAGGCTCCCCCGCCGCCGCCTCTTCCTCCTTCGCCTTCTTCTTTTTATCCTTCCACACCGGCGCGCGCGGCGTGTTCCACAAAGCCTCCGTATCCTCCACCTTGAGCTGGACCGCGCGGGAGAAGACCCCCTTCGAGTGCGACGAGAACTGGTCCTCCTGGTGCTGCGTCGCAGTCCCCTGCTGGTGGTCCTCCAGCCTCCCCGGCTGCGGCACCTTGCTCTGCCCCGAAACGACGGGCAGCGAGCCGCCCAGGTCGAGCGACTTTTTGTCCCTCGCGACGATGACCTCGTACGCGACGGCCGCCGACGTCGAGAACAGGATCTGCGACGACACCTCGATGATCCAGCTGGCGCACTCGGCGTTGTGGTCGGGCCCCTTGCCGAACCCCCCGTGCGCGCCCGTGCCCGCGCTCTGCCTCACGTCGTCGGGGACGGTCAGCTCGCCCTCCCACGACCCGCCGGCCTTGAGCATGGGCTCGAACTCGGGGACGCCATAGCGGCGCGGGTTGGCGAAGCGCTCGTTCGGGTTGAAGCTGGACGGGTACGCGGCGACGGAGAGGGTGTACGGCCCGTGGACGAAGGCGGCGCGCAGGGCGATGGCGCACGTGTTGCGGATGCGCACGTAGAGCTTCTCGGGCGAGGGCAGGATGCGGTCCTGCGACGGGTAGTAGGTGACGGTGTACCGCACGACCTCGCCGACCTTGACGCTGCCGGTTTGGTAGACGAGCAGCATCTTCTCCCAGTCTTCTTGCGCGGAGGCGGGGATTGGGCGATTCGAGGAATTCGAGGAAGATGGGATGCCTCCCGTTCACGCAAGAAACGGGAAGGCAGGACGAGAACGGGCGTCTCGCTTTCGGGTTGTCGTGGAGTGAAGCGAGCTCGTGTGACGTGACCCCGTTTTAGGGTGTCCAGAAAAAAGACCAAAATGTTGGGGGGGAAGCTACTGGCTTTCTGACAACATGATCGCTACGCACATGTCAGACCCGGGATTCATGGAATGAAACAATCGATGGGCACGGCTGCATGAGCAAGTACACGGTTACGAAGACGTATTCTCGACGCCTTTGCTGCTGGTCCTATTTTTCCTCCTTCTTGATCTCATCTGGATAATAAAGAGAAAAAAAGGGGACCTGCCCGGGCACTTTAAGATTGCCGGGCCCTGGTCGGCCCCCGTTGGTACTCCCACTCTACTCCCGACTTACGTAGGTGTGCACGTTGAAATCCAACAGGTTAGATTGCACGTTGAATGTACCGGTTCCTGTTCTGCACCGCCACAGCCGCTTCCGAAACCATGTACGCACCTACCTACCCACCCAGACGGATTAAGAGGTCAGTCAAGTGACAGCGGGCCTAACTCACCGATAGGTCGAGGGACTTTGCCTGAGTGTAGGGCCAACGCACAGAGCACCGAGACTCGCATTGACCCCTCCCGCCGTTTCCATGTCCGAGTCGATGTGCTGGCAGGGGCTTCCCGCAGAGCAGATGTGCTTGTTCTCGTGCATACACATCGGTCTAGGTAAATATCCCTTCCGTCATAGCGGTGGGGCTAGCGGGGTTTGGGCGCCTCCCGCGAGTCCGACCCCGCTAAAGGCGCTGAGGTGCCATCCATCATGGCAGTGCAGTGCCATCATGGAATGCACCGAGAGGAGGCCTCGGCGAAGGAGTTCAGCGAGGATTCCGAAGCATGCGTGTGCCGCAGCTCCTCTTGCGCCCTCATTCGCCTCCAGCGTCGGGAGGATCGGCCCCCGTCAGACTGGGCTTGTGGCTTGTGGAAAGCAAACCGGTCTGCTCAGTCAGGTGCATGCAGGCGACACATCCTGGACCAAAAGAGGCCTTGAGTGCATGAGGCTGGATCATGGCACTCGCTCATCGGGCTAAATAAAATGCGGTAAAATATGGATAGTATTCCTAGTACTACTTATGCGTCTATTTGTATGTATTCTAAAAATGCAACGTCTGTCGAGACAGGAGATCTGTAGATGCAATCAATCAATCAATCAGTGTGGTAGTTGTTGATGACCTACATGTGGGTTGAACTATCATTCTGGCTACTCCTTCTCGTATCAGGAGGGGATTGGATCCGAATAAGTAAAGAAAAAGCCAAACCAAACATATGAGTAAATGAAAAAGGCAGGTCATCCAAGTCATCAGTGTGTAAAATAGATATTGAGAAGAGGTTTGGATCAGCATGTGCGAAGCACCTCGTCCGGCCCTCCTCCTGCTCCAACGAAGCGCCGCCACTCATCGACACGGTCCATTCCGGCCCCGGTTCCGTCGAGTCCTGCCATCTGGGATGATGATCTGGGGACATCATCGTACTCGTGCCGGTGCCTATGCTCGGATTCGTGGGCATGCATGTGCTCTCTTGCCGACGCTGGAACAGCTCCGTATGAATGGCCATAAGCAGCATTGTTGAATGGGACCTGAGGTGCCATGTGAGGCATCATCATGGGCGGTGGCACATTACCGGGACCCCTCATCGGCATCCCCATGTGAGGGCCACCGAACGGTACCCCTGGCATCTGTGAGTGAGGAGGTGCCCCAGGCATCATCGGAGACATGGGCACGGGCGGTGCGAGTGGGATATCTTGTCGAGGAGGCATTCCTTGCCGGTTCTCAGAGAACCGATCGGCAAGGCGTCTCTCCATAGAACCCCCTCTGGAGCCTCGGGCCCTAGGGACCTCTGTGACATAGGGCCCTCTTTCGTATGACTTGGATTCATATGACTTTGATTGAGGAGATGGGAATGTGTCCGCTCGTTGGAACGCGGGCTCTTGATCAAACACATCAACCGACTTTCTTCTTGGCGGCTCTGGGGCAGGCGGTGGCGGCGGCTGCATGGTAGTCGACTGTTGAGCTCTGTATTTCGCTTTGCTGCGCTTCTTGTGGTGTTCTTTCTTGTGCCGGCTAGTGGGAGAGATGCCGAGTCCAAGTTCCATCCCTGGCCCCACGACCTCGTCATCGTCGTCTTCCATATCAGAAGGTTCTTCATGAAGTGTCATGTCCATGAATCTTTGTGGCATGCCATCTTCATCATGACCGTGGTGGCGGTAGTCATCATCTTCGTTGGTTCTTCGTCGCTGGCGTCTTGCCGACTTGTCGTGCTCGTGGTGCTCTCGCGACTCACGCGATGCAGAGGATTTCTTGACAGGTTTCTCCTCTCTGTGCTTCTCCCTTTTACGTGGCCTTTCCCTTCTGCTGTCTGGGGTCATTGGCTGGCTAGTGCTGGAAAGCATGACGCTAGATTGGCGGTTGGAGGACTGCAGACTTCCCCGGCTCGACTTTGCCATTTTGGCCTTCCTGTGAGTCTCATGGCGGGCATCATGACGGGCCTCGTGGCGGGCCTCTTGACGAGCCTCTTGACGAGCCTCTTGACGAGCCTCTTGACGGGCCTCATGGCGGGCCTCTTGACGAGCAGCATCACGTTTCTTAGCAGATCTGGAAGGGTCGGGTCAGTAAAGGTCCAGCTCGTCACCCTGTGCATCGGCAATCACCCAGACTCACTTCTTTGGCGATATCTCCGACATGAGCTCTGCCGCCGCAGCGGTCGACGCTCGTGATGACGGGACTCTGGGGGGAGACGAGGCATTCCTACGACGTCTGGGGGAGGAGGGCTCAATAGCTCTGGGGGTCGAGTGATCCTCGACTGACTTCCTGGCCTGTCGTCGAGGGTTCCTTAGTTTCCTTCGAGGACGGGGAGATGGACTATCCTCGTCGTCCGTGTTCTCTGGCAAAGCATATTGCTTTCTGCTGGCCGGAGCAGGTATCTCGTCTTCTTCATCAACTTCATAATCATAATCATCATCGTCATCATCATCCTCAGACGTCCCTGACTGATATTCCCGTGCTTTCCTGGTTCTTCTCTGCGAAGCTTCGTCATCAGCCTCGGATTCTTTGTCTGAGGGATCTGAGCCGTCGCTACTCTCTTCCTCATCAGTCTCGTCGTCGTCATCATCATCGTCATCCTCACTACTGGTATCAAATGATTCATCAGAGAAGCTTTCCAAGTGCGGGGCCGCCTCCGCCATTCGGGCTGATGCACGAGGCCGGGTATGGAGCTCATCTCTCATTGAATGTCGTCGGCGGGTGGAATTCCTCGGTTCCACGTCGTTTTCATGACCGAAAGACCGTTCCTGTCTGAACGCAGATGTTCTAGGTGGTCGGGGTGCTGCGGCCATTGGCGCCGTCGGCGGCGGCTGAAATTCACTGCTGGCCCCGTTTGAGGAGCGCCGTCCCTTAGACCGCCTATTCGCTCTCTCTTCTGACTCTTTGTAGAGGTATTGCCGGCCAGAGTCGTACGACGACGATTGAAGTGGCATTCCATAGCTTCGTGGGGTGCTCTCAGGTTCGCCATAGTAGGGCTGTTGCTGTCGTCGTCGTCGTGGGTCGGGGTCCTCTCTATGTTGCCTCATAGCTTATCTGCGGCCCGGCCTGGTTTCGGGGGGGACCTTGGGCTGGAATGTGGCAACGCAATGGTATAGGCAGGGTACTGGCCAGTCAAGAACGTCCACGATGCTGTCGAGGTTTTCGCATCCACCTCGACTAGTTTGGGATCTGTTGGAGATGGGTGTGCAAGGCGCACATGGGCCATCCCACCCTCGGGCAAGAACGAGGCGTCGGATCCGTTGGGCTGCTAGATACCTAGACAGCCGCCCTGATCCAACACCGAACCAATTTGGAGAAAAGAAGGGGTGGTAAAGATGAGTTCCAACCGCGGATCAGAGACCGCGATGGTTGTTGACGGAGGGAAACACAATCGGAGGGGGGAGGGGGTTGGGGGGGTTATAGAGGCTCAATCGCCCCTAATGCCTGCCCTGCCGCTATGGTCAAGTGATGCTGCTCAGAACCCCAGCAAGGCGCGTCAATGGGGACATCTCTGTCACACAACCAACGACTCAGACCAGCCGCTTCTGTACCTGGCTTGGCCCCAAAAAGGAATGCCAAGGCAGGTAGGTACCGGTTATTACAGAGTACCAATCCCTACTCCCACTTTGCATCACCAGATGCATCTTGCCAGGTACGTAGTAGCTCCCTTCGTGTCCTGTGTCTTGTGTCCATTGGGATGTAGGTAGGTGTAGACGTACGTAGCTTAGGTAGGTAAGTACTAACCCGCCTATAGTAGCCAATTGCTATACCTGCCTGCCCTAGTAGCTCTGCTCGCGTACCTACTTGCGCTTAGAGGGGAAATGGATGTGTGCATACAGGACGAGGTGCCCACGACGACCAATCCCGTCCCAGCACGAACAGCCGTACCTTTGGCCCGCTCTTGTTGTTGCTCTCCTGTTGTGAAGTGGTGTTGTTTCCCCTCCCCCAAGAGCCACCTCACCGGGCCACCTCACCGGACCGTTCCTGGATGAGTTGTGCCTCTCTAGACATGAGCTCCCAATCACATTGTTGGAATCAAGCTCATTCTTCTGGATATAGACAAGAACGCAATAGCTTGGGCGAACCACATCCCCCTCCGTACGTTGCACAACAGGATATGCCCGCAGTTATGCAAACAGACAACACAATGTACCGTCACGTGTGTGGGCTCCATCTCCACCAGGTGAGACCTGAGCTGTGCTAAACCCCGAATGAGAAGCGACACATGGCCCAGCCAGGTCAACATCGCAGCTCAGCTCACGCCGCACAGGAGGTGGCAACAACACGAGGGAACAAGAAGAGGGGTAATGAGCACAATAGTACGTGGTGCGTACGTTCTGGGTAAGTGGTCTCTCTGCGGCCACTCCAGAGTATCAGGTCCGGTCTTGCATCTGCATCCATCGCCGACCCGTTCATCGGGGCTTTGGCGTCGGATGCCAGTCGGAACATGGTGCCATTGGCGCCCGCCCATTGGGCCGTGTGGGTGGGTAGCTTAGTGGTTACACTACTGCACTCCCGCTACGATTATTGTTGTGTCTACTCCGCACCTGCTGAGCTGCTCCCATCCCATCCCACAGCCGTTACGACCTCGCAGTCTCCTGATCTGTGGTTCACTTTTTGAAACAAGACTAGCACCGGAATCGCACGATCCAAAGTCGTCTATTCTCTCACATCGCCACCCTTGCTAGCTAGGTTGCCAGCTCAAGCTCCGCCGAGGGTCGACTGACCACTCCAGCTATCGCACCGTAGGTAGGTACCCCCAAGCTTCCTCAGGTTGGTCTTGCAATTGGGTCCGTGTGACCATTAGACGTGCTGCAATTCGTAACATGTAATTTAAGGATTGCTCCTTGCTGTCCACCTCCATATTGGTTTCAATGGGTATCTCCGTCTTCTCGAGTCCATCCAACAAGCACTAATGTACATTTCGGCATCACGATGGAGCATTCTAATATGCCCATCCAGAACTGCAGTAGTATATCCAATGCCAATCAGACTCCTGCGCTTCAAATCATAATAAATTCGCCATTTGAAACATTGCATTGTAGCCATACATGATTCAGTAACAATTCAGTACATGCGGCACATTGTTGCACGATTTTCCCTTCCAACTGGGTATGATTCCCCTCTCCATATGTCTGCTCACCTTCTCGTTCGGTGCAGTATTGAAAATCCCTCGATCAAAGAGGAGATATGCTACATTGTTTCAATGTTAAATCTCTTTCTGCTGAGTAATGCCGGGCTAAAACTGTTCGACTGCCTGTTTCATGTTAAATTCTCTCGATGACCAGAATAAAGGCGACATTTATCTGTAGAAAGCCGACAATGTGATAAAAAGAACAATTCCAGTAGCGGGTTGATATGATTCTCGTATACATTAAGTTAATTAGAGAATAGGCTTCGAGATTCGAGGTTGCGAGGCAAGTAGGTCTCGTCTCCCAGTCCGGCCAATCGACCCAATTTGTACTCGTTGTGGCCTGGGAGAATGAGGCGAGGACATTTTGGACAGAATCACCAGCTGTGTCCAAAGGTCATCCCCGCCAGCCTTTCTTTCCCCTAGGGGTGCGTAGAATATGCGTGCTCTAGCGTCCGATTTGTGGATCACACATATGGTGGTTTACGTGCTGAGGAGCGTTCGCCTCCTCAACTCCGCCTCCTTGATAATTTCTGCTGCAAGACTGAGACTGGGAGCAAGCATTGCGTAACTTTCAACCTCGATAATGACGTCGTTGATCATTTGATCGAGTGCTTCGCGGTGCGGAAGCAACGTTAGGATAATATTTAGAAGAGATGGTGACATCGAAGCCCCCATAACCAGAAGCGTCTGGGATACCATCGACAAGGCCCCTTGCCAAATGTAGGGCATATGGCCGGCATGGCTATAAAATTAATTCCGTTAGCATCATCAGCGGTAAATCAAACAAAGAGAAACTGGAACAACCCGCCGGACACTCACTGTTCTACAATATGCTCGAGTTGCCTGATGGAGGCTTCAAGACATTTGTGGCAATTCTCACGCACGACTGGGTCCAGGACGGCCTGTTCGTTGTCCAATACAGCCAGAATGTAAGGCCTGTAGATGATAGTTCTGCAGGCAAAGAAGCGAAGCCGCAAGACGGTTTGCACCTGGTCCTGAAGGACCGTTCGCGTAAAAGGAAACTGGAGCGCAAGTGGCAAGCTTTCGTACCACTGTGTCAACTGATAGTCAAGCTCCGACACAACAGGCTCCAGGCTCGAGGTTGTAGCCATAGAGTCTTTCGAGTAGATCAGTTGACTAACTCGGTTAAGAAGCCTGCGCAGTGCAATTTCAGCCAGGAAATACCACAACTCGTCCTTTCCGACCTTCTCGCCCTCTTCACCCTCAAAACCGCCAGGCAGACCAACATTTTCTTCAAATTGAACTACACCAGAATGGGGCAAATCAAGCTCTGCCAGTAGATCACTTTCGAACAGCAATGCATTCCAATAGATTCGTTCGATGAGCTCTCGTTGATGAGCCGGTACCCGGTTGGGGGACATGAGAAGCAACTGAAGTTTCGTACTCGTACTACAAAGAAGGTTCCAAGCCTCCATGGGGCGGACAAGATAGAACAGGTAAGCAGCAGCCAGGAGGTGACATTGTGCAGCCAATACTGTATTTGTAGTCATCATGCCCGGAAGAAGGGACCAAGCTGCGGTGAAGTATTGCAATCCGGGAGGCTCCTCTTGAGGAACGATTCGTGAGATGCTTCCTCGGAGGCTTGCTTGGCCAAGAGCCAGAACAAGAAGAACAATGCAACTTTCAGAGCCTTCTCGAAACCCGTTGGACAGGGCAGTGCGGTATTGACTTCTCCATGAGTACGGATTGACACAAGCGTACCAAACATTAACACGCTCGAAATAGGCCTCGATATAGGCCTGGGTATTGGATAAATCCACACAGGGCGTTTTCGTCAGCGAGTGCAACGGCTCCCTTGCCATCTCCAGTTGAAGCAGTATCTGAGGGTCATAGGGGCGTGAAACGAGATCACGAATCAGAGGCCATTGCAGTAGATGCATTGCTGCATTGGTGTGGATTTTGGGCATAGTGTTGATGTTGGTTGTGGTGGGCTGTTGCGTCCAGGTTCCAAAGCCACCATTGGGAATGAGGTTGGTGAACGCATGTTGGCCACCAGGGTTCAACAACGCACTCTCGCCATTCATTGTGCCGTTGCTCATTGAGGGCGAGTCCGAATTCAGGTTTATCCCAGTTGCTGAGTTGTTGACCATGTTTAACTGAATCAGCGTCTCGATACGGTTGAGACGCTCTAGAATCAGCTTGTCGCCAGCATCCAACTTGATTCCCGGCTCTCTATAGATGCATTCAGCACCGAGCTCGGAGCAGAGCTTGCACTTGGGCTTATTCCCATCGCAGCGCGACTTTCTTGATCGACAGACCTCACACTGAAGCCAGTCAGACATGGATGAGCAAACGAAGTCCGGTAGCTTAATTTTTGACACTTACAGCAATTGTGGCCCTCCGGCGTGGATAGTCGATCCCAACATCGGTGTTTCTCCTCTTGAGGGGATTAGATCCCTCATCACTTGAAGACTTTGCGAGACCATTCAAGAGAGATTCCGTGAGGGCAACCTGAGAAGACCCGGCGGGACGGCCAGCCCCTGTTGCTCCGAGGATGCCGTCCCGGGT